TCTGGAAAGTAAAACATATTCGTTTAGAAACACCTATCGACATTAAATCCCAAGTTCTTTAGTATCTTGTACAAGTAAGTTTATAAGCTGACCGGAGAATATAACGATGGCGGTGAGGAGGGCGTAGTGCACGTTGTCGAGCGACATGGTGTAGATGCAGCGGCAGAAGTGCAGCAGGTCCTCGATGACGTAGGCCATGCCGGCCTTGCGGTAGTTGTCGCGCGTGTACGCCTTGTTGTTGGCGAACAGCACGCTGTCCGTGTCGGGGTCGTAGCGCCGCGCCACGCGCAACATCATCACCTCGCTCGAACACGCCTAAACAAAAAATCTATGTTAATACTAACAACGGAAATTAGAATATTTTTTAAAACATGCGGTAAGGTAAGTGAACCAATTGAAAACAAGCTGTACCTTTAATAATGTAATTTGATCAGGCTGTGAGATCTTGGCGAAGCCCGGCAAGCCCTTAGCGAACTCCACGATCAGCTGCACTGTGAGGATCGTCATCTCTGTGATCTGGCGGAAGGGCAGGTCTGACTGTTCCTCATCCTCGTCATTATGCTGCCACGTCTGGAAACCACATATTGCTTGATATACAATTTTGATTGTAGCTTCTGCTTACGCAGAACTTTATGTAAAAACACAAGCATATTTGTAATTTTAACTACATTTTCAATTTCATTATTATTAAAACTTTTCAAAATTAGTAAGTATTTTTCCTTTCGACCGAAACGTTCAAATTATTTTTAGGACATCGGGTAAAAATTAAACTTTTACAAAGCTTTACTTTCGAATAGTTTGGTTGGTATACAAAAAGCTTGTCCAGTCCAGTTTTAAGCAATAACTTTGTGTCCAACAAATACACGGGGAGATTTATTCACGGATGTTGTTGACATGAATAATAATCTTTGAGATTTAAACGCGTCCGTTGGATTATAATTTAAATAATGTAAGGGTCGTTTATTTATACAACATATTTTGCTCTCAACGTTTCACTTTTATTTACTTTTCATTAATTATAAATTCTACATAGACTAAAATAGTCAGTTTTAAATTTTAACATTTGAGGCAACATTTAATTATTTGAAAATATTCAAGTATTAGTATTACTTCCGTGACCCGCTTCAGATCCTCTTCGGAAGGCTGCTCGTACCCGTCCTGGTACCAGACGAGCCTCGCGATGAGGAACTGCTGGTTGGTGGTGAGCGCCGGGATGTTCTTCAACCTGTTCTGCTCCAGCAACTTGTCCGGAAGGAACCGCGGTACCAAGTCGTGCTGCAAACATTCCAGCTTCACGTAGGAAACAACCATCGCGTTAATACTTTGCTCGCTCATTATCATGTCAGGACGGAAAGCAAATGTATTCAACGTTTCTTAACTATACTATATTAAATAGATTTCATTTAAAAAGAATCGGGTCTTTACTAAGTTAATCTATATTTTCTATCTATATTGTCTTTAATTTAAGATTAATTCAATAAAAAAGAAAATAAAACTAATAGGTTAAAATTTAAATAATAAAGATTGCTTACAATCCTAGCAGCTTCTGGTGGAGGTGGGTCGCACTGCATAATAGGGGGCATGTGGTCGTCAACTGTGGTCGTACTGACAGGCAGTTTGTCCTTTTCCCGCTGCGCTTTCTTTTCCTTCCTCTTCATAGCGCACTGGGTCTCAGGCACCACGCACTCAGGTCGCATGCCCACCGCCAAACACTTCTTCAGCCGGCACTCTTGACACTTACGTCGCATGTACATGTCCATTTCACACGCGTGTCCGAACTTACATATGTAAACTGCATTTTTGGTAACACTCCGCCTGAAGAACCCTGGAATTTACAACATACAGTTTACATTTGTATTCTGTGAAATTGTAATGCAGTCATTGCAAATATAAAGGTTGTCTGAAAGACGGGGGTCAATGACACCGCGATACCAGAGGTGCGATTAGGTAACGTGATATGACGAGATTGATAATAAAAGTAATTCGTATTTATTGTAAGAAATTACATCATCACATTGTGATATATAAATGAATTGTAGTTTAGCATGAATAATTTTAGAAGCAAAGGGCCGGTCCCATCTGTCTCGCCAGCCCAGAGTAAAATCCTTAAATGGCAGCCGATTAGAAGGTGGGGTGTCCTCCATCCAGGTGTTAGGACAACGATTTATTGCGCACGGAGAAGTAGGAAAACGGTGAACCGCATTCTGTGAAAGGTAAGACCATTGTCCAACGGTAGACATGTAAAGGTCGATGATGAAGAATTGCAAGGTCTGATTTAAGGAATTAAGAACGTATTTTAAGTAATACTTCGGAAAATTACTATTGGCTTGATGGAAGTGAGATAGGTACGGTACAAGTCTAGACAGTATTAGCCAGTAAACGTTCAGTAGACGGCCAGCAGACGGCCATTGTGACGTAGTGCGGTGGCATTTGACTACAATATGCACACGCGCGTCTACAATCATCGCGCTCACAATGCACCATTTCAACTGAATTGTTAGTACTATACAAACATATAGAAAGGTTCTAGCAATACAACAGTTTTGTGCAAGTTATTTAAATACTTTGTTTTCTAATCGGGCTATCGTTCGGTAAGGTTTCATCTTCAATTCTAATTGGTTTTTTTAGTGAACCAGTTTAGTTATCTTTATGCTGTTAAGTCAAAGAATACTCAGAGGTTGTTGATAAGTCGGTCCTAAATATTATTTTTTACGAACCTTTTTCAAATGAAGGTGACCCTATTTGGCTAAAAGCTTTCAAATGACTAAAAGATTAACCAACACAATCCTACACGAATTCTTTGAATAAATGCACTATAGTCTTATTTGGACATAGTAATTTGTATTCTGTATACTTTTGTTTGATAAACGTGGCTTGTCTTGTCTGTATTTAAGATCACAATGAAATCTAATATAATTAAATAGTTACATGGGTTATCAAAAATCAGTGTTTATGAAAATTTAAGATTATATGATAAGTTTCATGTAAATTGGTTAAAGTATGACAGTAATTGTTAATGACACAATAGTGTACATCACGACAAATACTGCTTACGGGTCACTATTGCTTGTTATTCCGATCAGAATTTATTACAACTTTCGTTATTCTAAAATCGTAACATTGTACTTATAAGAACTGGTATTGTCTTATAACATTCCAAAGACGGGAGTTCTCTAGCTGAATAAGGATATAAATCCAATCACGCGCCTCACAGACGAACGTGACGTTATACTGCCCCGAAACGTAACAAATTGCCCATTAAATCAAGAATGCTTAATGATTTTACTTTTTTATGTAACATTTGATTCTATTTATATAGTATACTGCACGATTTTGTTACCTTAACTTTGAATTCATCTATCGTCTACAGAGCACACAAAAACCATATGTCAACTTCACCATAACCTGGATTATTATTACAATTACAAATATAAACCTTTATGTTAGTAATTGTTAATATTTTGATTAATAACAGCACAAGCTGCGCCTGTTGAGTTGTCAAGTGTGAGGTTACCTTTGCATCCTTCACAGGTGAGCGCATTATAGTGGTAGCCGGAGGCTCTGTCGCCGCACACCAGGCACAGTTCCT